CATGATGAGTAATGGATGTAGATAATTTGTCAGAAGTGTCATCATTTTCTAGGATGATGATGATGATGATTATAATGATTCGATGATGATTTGAAGCGATAGCAGTATTGATAATGATGTAAGATGATGCTTGGATATATTGTTTGACTTCTGGATCAACATCACACTTTTGATTCACATCGGTAAACTGCATTTTATCATTAATATTATTGATCAGAAGGCGTTTTGTGGAGTTTTCAGTATTTTCATAGTTGAAATCATGAGTTAATTGAAGCTAGACCACCATGGAAAATCTGGAAGCCCTACTTGACGGTCGTTTCGTTCTATTATGCGACTCCTCGGGGATGCTTCCTTGGTTTCTAGTAGGAAGCATTGACCAGTGGAGTTCAACCAAGTCTGTTGTAGAGATATCAACTCACTGAAGACAATTGGTGAACGCCTGCTCAAACGTCGTGGATTGGTTGAAGTTAGACATTAACAACAGGTCTATCGATTAAGTGCTCTGACGCCAGACTTATAGGTCCTGGGTTCGAATCTCACGAGTGCGGGATAGTAGATACGGACTGTTGAGCAGTCCCACAATAGGACGAGACGGCCATCCAGAGCTTCCAGGTTTTCCATGGTGGTCTAGCTTCAATTGACTCATGATTTCAACTATGAAAATACTAATATTATCATCATTATTATGAGTACTACTAACATTATAATTGTTAGTAGTAAAGATGGTATGGTTGTAAAATATATTGGCTGATTATAATATATTCCATGATACAATTATTCTTATTTACTATTGAATCATTCTGTTCAATCAAATTCAACTTATCATAAAATGATGATACCTCATGGTTTATTATTATCATTACCTAAGTCAGTGTTGAACTTAATACCATCATTACTGCTACAATAGAATATAGTGGGAAAACCCTATTGAATGATGAGAAACTGTTCTAATCAAAGAGAATGATTCATATCAGTATCAGCCTCGTATTGATGTTGATATTACATAGACGATGAAATTTTGAGCAGGAACTACATTGAAGAAGGAAGAGAAACAGTGAACAATGACAGTGGATTATTGTCATTGTCAAATCTATCGAAGCGATAATAACATCAAGTGTACATACAACATGCGATAATGCAAATGACAACTTTTCGCTGTGTCTAAACTTCACAACAGTATGTCAACAAACAAAAGGCGATTCAAAAGCAAACAATATGGAAGCCGTTGCGCTCACTGATTATTACGAATGCAACTGTCTACTGAATTATAATAATAAGTAGTATGAGACAATACACGAAAGAGTCGAATGGAAGTTCATGAGCACAGAGAATGTAAACAAACAGATTTAACAGGTATTATTATGGTGATTATTAAGTATTGATCCATTCATTGCAATGTCAATAGATGATGAAGCCCATTTTGTAACTGAATTTGTTGTTGAGAAGAATGAAATGAATGTTGATCAGTTGGAAGTGTCGCATAAGAAAACGTAAACTAATTTAATATTTGGTTCTGCTCTCATATCATACTATTGTGACACTGGATTTGTATTGATGTAAGGTCTAATCTAATGGATAGACAAAGAAAGATAGAAGTCATGTTGAATACAAGACAAGTTAGTTTAGAGTAAATTAGAAACAAATGGTCAAGATCTATTCCACTAATTTAATTACATTGGATCATTGATTATACAAGATCAAGTTCAACGAATAGTTGATTGGTTAATACACTTACTATAAACTAATGTTTGAGGTGATGCTTCAACATCATCCGATCAGTCGACAGAATACCATTTTCCAGTACTTATTGTTAGGCTGATTACTCAAGCTGAATATGCATATGTGTTAAAGTAGAGAGACAGGCAGACGAGTATACAGATTGTCTTTACTTGTATAATAGTTAATGTATATGGTCTACTCATTGAGTTATTGTTAAAAATGCTTGTCAACTCCTGTAAGTTATTGGTAGAAGGATGTAATTTTTCGACTCTACATATTTTGATTATTGCTTGAATGGCTTCGCGAGTGTAAGGATAGTCTGTGAACTCATATCCATTGACAATACCATTCAGCAAAGTATCTAATTCTGTCAATGTTATGTTCAATGAATAAGTAGTAGAGGCATAAAGATGAACCGAATTATTTATTGACAGATCGTTATGACTTGATTGACAGATTTAAGCTTTCGCAATTGAATAGTGATACTTCAGAAAGCAAAGCATATTGATTGAATAGTAAAATACTTATAGTGTCTAGTGACTTACTCTTCATATGCTCACGTTTTCACTGGTTGCTGTGATCTGTTCCAATAACCAGTTTGGTAATTCTTTACCATCTGAAAATGCTGGTAACCAATTAAACGATGAAGTTAGATTTGTTTGCGACAATGTTTCACCATTATTGTCACTTGAAGAACAATTCAACATAAAACATTTCTTATAGTATGGAAATATATACTCTGTAAAATGAATAGAATATAAAACGACACATTCAACTGTTCATTCTATTGAAAACTTCTTCGAAATACACACTCTCAACACACCACGGTCAATGAAGATAGAATAATTGATTGACAGAATTCGATGACATCGATAACCGTGCTGTGATCAATAAAAACGAACATCTACTTTCCACAAGGAGACAGTTGTGATCCGAGTAACGTAGTAGTAATCAATTCTCACGCTGTAGAATTGAGTGCTATGAGTTTGGATCATATAAGCAGTATTAGTTTGTTCAATATTGAGAACACATCTCACTGAATTGTGCCAACTACCATAAAATCTGAGTTCACGGTTTCCAAGTGACAGTCTACAAACATCGAACATTGTCTAACCGAATCAAAATATCTCCTAATCAACATCAATTAGAAATATGAGTTTGAAATTGTTGAGACAAACATATCTGACATGCTAATTGATTACTTAACAACTGATGAATAAATCAAGAAGGCTTTCTTTCATATACGTCCATTTCAATTCTTTTGAGAAATGATGATAAATTTCAATATCTGATGATCTCTGAAAATGTACTGGACCTCAAATGATGTTTGATCATCTTCACAAGATGATCACACCCAATCCTAATCAATAATCAACATATCATATATATTTGATTGAGAGTGAAGTGTACCTAGTCACAATGTTGAGTAATGGTGAGTTCATCTGTGATAGTGATTGGTATGAAATAATCCACAGACCGTGATGTGGATTATGTAATCAGGATGATTGAGTGGTGGTTTACCTACTGATTCATATAGGTTAAGGTGTTGAATATCAACGTTAGGCGAACATGATCAAACATCACAGACGGTGAAGTAAATTTTGAGAGATCAATAAATATTAATATTCACCATCATTTATCAACATAATTGAAGTGAATGTTCATGTAAGGAAGCACTGGTGAGTTGCTCATCAGTTGTTGAGTATTTAAGCAGCATGTGAAATATGTTTATCTCGAATATTCTAATCCCACATTTCTAGATGTCAACATATTCTCCCCTGAATTCATTTTACAGACTATGTCAACGTTCAATTAAAGTCACATTGAATGAGATATTGGATTTCTCATCCGTGTATCTTGAACATACTTTTCACCTACCGACAGTATTCCCTTTCTCATTTATGTACCTTATGTCGGCGTCCATTCCAAGTTGGAACAACATCAATTCACATTGATTATTTTAACTAAGATTCATATTACACTCATTCCACAATAGACTATAACCTATTATATTGATTAAATAAGTGGAATGTGGTGATAGAGGACGACAACAACAACACCTGTGAAGAAGATTTTACCGAAGGCAAAATGAATATTAAATCCAGTATTATTATTTAATAATGATCCTGGCCAAAACTTCAAAGTAGTGTGGGAAGGCCTAAACGGATGCTATAATTGTATTATGATCTTCAGTCAAAGGCCGTGGCCAATAAAGCGGAAGAATAGATGGCGGAGAGAGCGTTCACATTTTAGGAACCGCGGTAGTGTAGTGTATGTTAGACTTCTAGAAGCAGTACAAGGTCACAGAGCAGTTTAGAGTTGTAGGAAACCCAGAATCACCGTAAGACAAAAGTTTCCAATCAACCAACTCCTTATCAGATTTCTCATGTGATTGTACCAGTTATGGTTTGTCATAATGATTCACATATTTCTGATGAAATACCTTACAACTTTGAGAATGATATGATGAATGAGTCGAATCATGGTCAAAAACCAGATTCAGTTTTGGAAGATGCTGATTTTACTAATGACCTATTATTCTCTTGTAGTGACCTGTTTTTCCCGACATGAAGGCGATTGGTATAATGGAAACAATTATTATTATAACCAATTGCACCAGTGATTGGTTTACTGCACTCGTTGTTGTTTAACAGTATCAAAATCACTTTTCGTTCAGTCGTCCATCGTGTTCACTCGAACTTTCTTACGCTCTGCCCTTATTGCCTGTACTTGTTGGCACGTCTCGGTATTCTTTCGATACCTCAAGTTCGCCAATAAATGTGCTTTATCTGGACTAATTACAGCATTCTGGTTTGTGAGTTATCGAAAGGATCAAGTCGTTTTTGGGCGCGTAATCTTATTGTAGTGGTAATCATAGTCAATCAAGACTCGACGCCATCTACACTCTAATGAAACTCTTAATCAATTTGAGGAAAATATTTCAAAAGAATCAAATCCTGATGTCATATCATGTATTATTTATCCTCATAGTGCATATGCTTCTTATAGGAAACTTATTGAATGCGAAGCACGAGTACTAAGTGAGCTTGATTTTCATTAGAATTTGGATAACTTCATATCAACTGTTGTTTATACTTATCATGAAGTCACTTCTAATGAATACTCTAGTTAATATGTGAAATATGTTTTAAATGAAGCCAAATTATTCATAACTTGAGGATATGAAGATTCAACATTATTTCGTGGGAGAAAAAGTGTTGTAAAGTTGTGATGTTTAAATAAATCAATGACTTCTTCGTATTGATGACTGTTGTAATTTTGAATTCCAAATACAATACATTCGTTCGAGTTCATCTGATACTTCTTGATTAAATTGCGTTATTCCTGGGATTACTAGTTTATACTACAATTCAAATACTTCTGATCATCATATTGGCGTCGCGATGGAGCCTGCGATACAACAGTTGGACATTCATTCAACTTCTGAAGCTTTTGAGGATTATCTTGAAAGGTTTGAGATATGGAGCATGACCAAGAAAGATATGAAGGGTGACAAAATTGTGGCACATTTTCTTACATTCATCGGTCAAGAAGCCTACAGTTTATTAAAAACCTTGGCCTATCCAGATAAGCCGATTTCACTCCCATATACAACTCTCAAGGAATTACTATTAAATCATGTGAAGTGCACCAGTTTTGAGTGTCGTGAGAGAGCAAAATTTCATAAGATGATTCGTCAGGATAACCAGAAGGTTAAAGACTTCATCCTTGAATTGCAAAGACAAGCTGCCAAATGCAATTTTGATGATCAACTTCATGTACAGTTGAGAGATCGGTTAATTGCTGGAATTAACATACCAGGTCTGGAAAAGGAGCTGTTAAGAATGCCGAACTGTTCTTTTCAAGATGCTAGAACTGCATGTATTAACTACGAAGCAGTGAATGAACTTGATATTCAATCGATGAAAATTTCTAATACTTTGCTTAGTCGTCATGATGAATTACAATCTCAGGGTCGATCAAATTTGCGTTCGTTTAATCGTGATTGCTATTCCCGTGGAAATATGAAAGGTGGTTTAACAAGGAACTGCAAAGCAAACAACAAAGGTGAGAAGAAGTTTGGTAAATGCTTATCTTGTGGCAAATTTCATTTGCGTAATTCATGTGCATTTCGTAATGCTAAATGTTTTAAATGTGGCAAGACATGCTAATGATCATGCTAGTATTAGTATCTAGTATTAGTGCTATACCTGGACATTTCTAAGGCCTTCGACATGGTCAACCACCAACTTCTCATAGGTAAACTCGCATCTTATGGGGTCGAAAACCCGTTACTAGCCTGGCTTGATTCCTTCCTCGGCAATCGACATCAAATAGTTAAAATCAACTCTTCATTGTCGAACGCAGTCCCTGTTAGAAGTGGGGTAATTCAGGGTAGTGTCTTAGGTCCTTTGCTCTTTTTAGTTTTCATTAATGATATTTGTGAGTGTTTTAGTGTGGGTAAGTCCCTTTTGTTTGCAGACGATCTTAAGGTGGTGTACTCATTTTCTCCACATGAGCTGAGCAATATTCGAAATTGCATCAGCATGGAGCTTAACAAGGTAGCACAGTGGTGCTCAAAATGGCAGCTGGAGCTCAATACAGCTAAATGTGGTTGGCTATGCTTCGGTGATACATCACTCAACCTTAATCTTACCATAAATGGTGAAATGTTATCTAGGTTACACACAGTAGTAGATCTAGGGCTTAGGTACTCCGATGACTTGTCGTTTACTGAACAGGTAATGAAACAAACGTCCAAGTCTCAACGCCTTATAGGTTTCATAACTCGAAACCTTCATAACAGCGAATCTCGTATTTTAATGTACAAAGTCTGTGTTCGACCACTCCTCGAATACTGCGCGTTTCTCCTTAGTAGCACGCGCATAAAGGATAAATTAAGACTGGAATCAGTACAGAGACGATTTACATTTCGTACTCTTGGACCTGATAGTGTCTTGACATATAATTCGAGGTGTAGTAAACTTGGGCTTGACCCTTTATGGATGAGGAGACTGAAACTTAACCTTATCTTCTTTTTCAAAATACTTAACAAACTCTCCTTCACATCCAGTCAGGCGATTCAATATGCTAAGGCTTCACATTACGACATTCGTAACTCCTTGTCTTTAGCGAAACAAACATATTCTAGGTCTTCTCTCTATATGAATTACTTTACCTGTAAGTTTTCTAGACTCTGGAATAATTTACCCCAAACTATCCGTATGTTAAACTCTTTCCCATTGTTTGTTCGCTCAATTAATGCTTTTTGCTCCTCTGAAAATGCATTAAATGCTCTAGCGCCTGCAAGTGTATCTTACTCCACAAGTGAGATTATAGGAACTTTAAATGTTTAACTTCTTACTTGCTATCATTGTTTTGTTGTTCCGTGCTCTTTGCTTTAATCTTACCTTCTCTAGTTGTAGATAATTAATAATAACTCGCTCTGGCACTGGTAATAACCTTACAGAATAATGTTGGTCAATCATCAGGCTATCCACTTGATGAAAAAATGACAAGTTCCCTGGTGTTGCATTGGCTTGCCGTGACATATGCCATACTTAAACTGTTTATCAATTACTAAACCAGCAAACATAAAACCTTCTTATAATTCATATTTGTTCTCTACATTAAATGTTGATAACAATCTGATCATGCCTGTAAACTGGTGTGAATTCTGTAAATATTATTTTCAGAATATATATTATTATTATTATTATTATTATAGGACACATCCAGTCAGTGTGCAAAACTACTGTTCATTTTGCTTTAAGTATTACTAAGTCTGGTAACTTAGATCCCAATAATTCGGCTGTTCTTGATGATCATTTATCTTTATCCACCACTTCAAAAGAGAATGTTCATATTCAAAAGCGATTATATACACCCCTTGGTTCATTTCATGACTTTATTGTGGACACAGGTAGTATAGAGTCCATTATTTCATTCAAGAACTTGAAATCTTTAGATCCTAATGTTGTGGTAAAACCCACTGAGGTCTCAATACTGGGGATTACTGGACACAGACTACCTATACGAGGATGTTGTAAATTGCTAATAAGAGATGATAATTCTTCATACGTACCTTGTGAATTTTTAGTTAGTGAAACAGGACTGTCCATACTGGGTTTAAAAAATCTGAAAAGGCTTAAAGTGGAATTGTCTCTACTAGTTTCTACAGAGAATTCTGATGCTTTACTCAAGGATTTGATAGCTGTGTGTGCTAAGTGTAGTGGAGGTATGAAAATTCAGCCCATAAAACTTCAAGTACAGGGTGATCCGGTCTTTCTTAAAAGACGAATAATTCCTTATGGTCTTCGAGAAGCAGTACATAAGTCACTGAATGATTTGTGTGCGAAAGGTATAATTGAACCAGTTCAGTCCTCAGCATGGGGTACTCCTATTGTTACGCCATTGAAGTCGGATGGCAAGACCCCTAGAATATGCGGTGATTACAGATTGACACTGAACTCCCGTTTGTTGAAGCAAACATGCACGACGATGGAGGCTGAAGATATTCTAAATCGGCTTCATGGTTCTAAAGTGTTCTCGAAAGTTGACTTGAAAGATGCTTATCTTCAAATCCCTTTAGATCAATCTTCATCGATCTTGACAACAATTAACACTCCTTTTGGTCTGTTCAAATACAACTTCCTTCCATTTGGTCTTAGTTGTTCTCCAGCCATATTTCAAGAGGTCATGAATAAGATAGTCAGCGATATTGAAGGTGTTGAAGTTTATCAAGATGATCTCATTGTTCATGGTGCTGATAAAGTAGTCCATGACCAGAGACTTATTGCTTTATTGCGTCGTTTAATTGAGAAGAATATTACAGTGAATCCAAATAAATGTTCATTTAGTGTATCTAGTTTTGAATGCCTTGGATACCTAGTTGATGGCAATGGTTTTAGACCAGATATGAAACGACTAGCTCCACTGACAAATGCACCGTCTCCAAAAAACATCACAGAATTACGTTCACTAGTGGGTGCTCTTCAGTACTATTCTCGTTTTATTCCTAATTTTTCTTGTCGTGCCAATTGTTTATTTAATATTTTGACATCCAATTTATTCAAATGGGGTGAAGAACAAGAGTCATGCCTACGAAGTCTGCTAAAGTTTCTTCAAAGTGATGCTGTTCTTTGAACTTACTCACCCAGTGTACATTCTGTTCTTATTACTGATGCGTCACCTGTAGGTATTGGTGCAGTTTTGGAACAGGAAGGTAGGCCAGTTATATGTGTTTCACGCAAACTTTCTGTTGCTGAACAAGGTTATTCACAAACGCAGCGAGAAGCGTTAGCTGTGTTTTGGGCTGTTAAAAGACTTCATAAATATTTATTTGGAAAGAAGTTTACCATTGTTACTGATCATGAAGCTTTAAAGTTCATTTATCATCCTGACAAATCCTTAGCACGTTCCTCAGCTGCTATGGTTCAACGATGGAGTATTGCTTTGAGTGCTTATGACTATACGATTCAGCACAGGAGTGCAAAACAAATTCAACACGTTGACTACATTTCTCGACAACCATTACAAGATAGACCTGTTAATACTTCAGACTGCTTGTTAGTGCAATCTTTACCGGTGAGACGTCCAGATCTCATTAGAGAAACTCGTAGATACTTTGGATGTATACTCAGTGCTATACGGAAGGGTTGGAATGCTAATCTGAAACGTAGATTTCCTGTCTATTATTCAAAGCGGGACGAGTTATCTACTACTCCTGACGGTATTTTGTGTTTAAATGATCGTGTTGTTATTCCTCCTTCATTACGCAAACCTGTCCTTGATGATCTTCATAGTGGACATCTTGGTGTTGAGAAAATGAAGTCCTTAGCAAGACTCACATGTTGGTGGCCAGAGATAAATGCAGATATATGTCGTACAGCAAACAATTGTGAGAAATGTCATAAGCTAAAAAGTCTGCCTTCGAAGTGGACTCCATGGCCAGTATCGTCTGAGGCCTGGCAGAGAATTCATGCAGACTACTGTGGTCCATTTCTTGGCAAATACTATGCACTTGTAATTAATGATTCTTTTTCTAAGTGGCCTGAAGTTATTTTCACAACTTCACCGAATTCTGACTTCACAATTCAAGCATTAAGGAAGGTGTTTAGTCGAGAAGGAGTTCCCATGGTGTTGGTGACTGATAATGGCTCTCATTTTGCTGCAGATGCAGTCACTAATTGGTTAAATGGTATAGGGTGCAGATATCTGTTTACGGCTCCCAGGCACCCTTGTTCCAATGGTCAGGCAGAAAATTTCGTAAGAACATTGAAAATTGCTATTGATTCTATTGCTGCTTCGACATTCAATGAACTGGAGAGGGGAGTAGATACATTTCTACTTCAATATAGAAATGCTAAGCATTCTGTGACGAAAGAGACTCCATCAAAGCTATTAAAAGGAAGAATTCTCCGTTCGAATATGAGGTGTTTGGAGTCTGCAGAAGTTACGTATTATCGTGGTAATGATATTCGACCAGCCACGGGGATCGTGGTGAAGAGTGTTGGAAAAACTATGGTGCGAATTCTGGATATCAATGACTTGACCATACATAACCGACACGTTGATCAAATACAATACCAGAATCCAGGTGAGTCTGTTCCAATTTCGGTTGTTAATTCTAATACTAATGAGTACATTCTAGATAATACACAGTCTACATCCAATACACCGTCGGACAGATGTAAGATGAACTTAAGAAGAGGACGAACAATCGATTACAGACACTTACACTCCAATTCGAGCTGTGGCGGATGTGATGTTTAAATAAATCAATGACTTCTTCGTATTGATGACTGTTGTAATTTTGAATTCCAAATACAATACATTCGTTCGAGTTCATCTGATACTTCTTGATTAAATTGCGTTATTCCTGGGATTACTAGTTTATACTACAATTCAAATACTTCTGATCATCATAAAAGTCTATAGTGCCAATTCTAGATAACAGTGATTTCACTACACAATTGACATGACGATTGTATACAATTCCAGTATTCAGTTGAGTTTGTTCCAAATTCGGTTGTTAATTCTAATACTAACGAGTACATTCTGGATAATACACAGTCTACATCCAACACACTGTCGAACATACGTAAGATGAACTTAAGAACACTTACAATTCATTACAGACACTTACAGTCCAATTTAAGTTGTTGCGTATGTGGTGTATGAATGAACCAGTGATTCGTTTGTATTGATGACTGTTTGATTTCGGATTCTAAATACAGTACGGTCGTTCGTGCTAATCTAATACTTCTTGAATAGATTGCGTTATTGCTGAGATTACTAGTTCATACTACAATTCAAATATTCTTGAACATCACAATTAAACATTTACTTAAATTTCAGGATCAGTGGTCATTATTCTAATTACAAGTGTGGATCATATTCGATCAGAAGTGATCAGAGCTTCACAGTATACATTTCATGACAAGTGGAGTATTTCTCATGTCATCAAAACTGACTAGATCAGTTTGATTTGTACCTGATTGAAAAGAAATTCAATTCCACTCTGAATCTCGATATCTACTCACAGTCAGGAGTGTCGTATGACGGTCGAACAGAATTTATGTTCCTGATTGTGAGAAGTAACAATTTTATGTGAACACTTGGATGGAACAGTCTGACAGAATTTCTTTCAAAGAATAAAACTCAAATGTGAAAATGCTCAGTTCGACATCCAATCAAAACAGTTTATGGTACACTGACTTTAACAAATCATATTACAAGTAAGCACTATTGACAACCACGTAACTAATCACTACTGTGAAAATAATCTATGTTCATTAACACATGAGCACGCACTTTCAACACAGACTAACCAATCACATCAATTCAAGTATTCTCATTCATACACACAACATGTTCATCGAAAGGGGTCAGGAATCACAATAACCATGTCCTATAATCAATAGTCAAAACAATGTTGACTAACTATGTATTCATAAACCCAAATCATTGGTTAACAATGAATAAACGCGTTTATTAAATTTCACCTTCTCAATGGTCATGTAGTATCAGTTTATTTGTTAAGCCCATATACTTTATCCTATCTACTGGTCACATTCAAGTCAGTCTCACTCGCCGTCATCGATAATCATATGTATTAGTATTTTTATCATGCCTTAATACGGTTTCGTAACAAACGAAGTTGAGCGCATATCCCTCTAACTACACCAACCACGCTAGGCTTCATGACCAAAAAAGAATACGACTTCGCATATCTCGTCTCAGTAGTCACTATCCTGTTCCTCTGGTCATTCTATTAATACATATTTAGCGAAAACTCAACGCGAACGACAACGTACACTGACTTCGCATTTTATTATCAATAGCAGTACAGCAACGAATATCAACCGTTGATACAGTCATCATCGTACGGCTGGATTATTTTCTATCCCACATGAACTCCCGGCATGTAAATTTTAAACCACTAATCGCCAATCGACTCTATTTACTCTCCTGCGGCTTATCGGGACATATTCATATTTTACTGTTCTTTATCCTCATACTCAGTCAGCACTACAGAGCAATTACTGCTATACTCTATTTTCACGATATTTCGAATTGCTCATACAAACCTGTTACTTTATCGTCCACACAGTCACGACATAATTGCATGTTAACTTTTTTTGTACGCTTACTAATTTACTCACAATCACATGGTAACATTTCCATTTCTGTCCTCATTTTGAGAATATTCATGTACAATTTTACATAAGTATGACAATTTCGTATGATACGCTCACCCCTCAAATGACACTGTAATTTATCAGGTATTGTACAATTTTTCCCTACATGTTAACACTATTCACATACCGCTTCAGTGTTATTTTTCGAAAACAAATATTTTTATAAATGTGCTATTTTCTAGAAGTGGGCTATGTAGTATCAGTTTATTTCTTAAGCCCATAAATTTTATCCTAGCTACTGGCCAAGCCAATTCGCCTGTCATGAGTCATATTTTGATCTTGTTCATTATTCACATATTAACCTTGGCTATAGTAATTTGGAATCATTGGAGGAGAAGGAAACAAGCAAACAATTACAAAATCTATATAAATCTACCAAGCACTAGTCACATTGTGTTGAGTGAAACTGTTCACCAAATCAGTGTATCATACAAATTTCCATTCCATTGAATGAGATGAGATAACTGTGTTTTGTTCATTTCAACCATTTGAGATATACATTTTCGACCAGTCTATTGCCAGATATCATTATATCTGATCGTCGTTTGACCCTACGAATTCTTCAACTGCAATGACATTTGTAAACAACCTGTTCTGGAGAATGAAGAAAGCATATTTCTCGAAAATGATTCATATCAATATGAGAGTGATCAGTCAGATGTTAATACACATACCTGTTGTCAGTATTATTACTACTCACGGATCATTCGTGTCAATCGGCCATATCCAATTTGTATAGCGAGCTTGAATGAAACTGATTGGTCTCACGTGACTTGGATACACGTTCCAACAAAGTCAGTCATGCAAATGTGTGCAAAATTTTAAGTTATTCGTGCAATAATCCAGTTGCAATATTACTATGCTGATGTCACTAGATTGGAGATTCTTGGTGACGGTAAGTGAATGCATTTTCTTTGAACTAGATTGTTGATTGTATTGTCTCAGTTAACACATCTTATTCTGTAACTGAATGTTACTTTCATTTATTCAGTGCATCATCTCTATGCCTTGTCTGACATACAAATCATCTGTTGATGTCTATCCATATTCAACCTATTCATAGTTTGATATCCCTCAGTAAACGAATAACAGTTTATCCAATTCATTTCAATCTACACTTCATTTCACAATCATTCACTCACTCACTCACTCATTCATCCATTCATTCATTCACTGATTCGTTGACTGTAGAATACCAATCAAATCTCATGTTTCTATTCAATTAATATAGGTATAACACAAATATATGGAGAAGACCAACACGGATGTATGGACGATCTTATTTCAATCAATTCTAATTCTGAATTACACGCTTCCCATCACAGTGAGTTCTCCCATTATTCAGTAAGATTTTGTTTTGTTGCTCTGTATGATTTGGTTTGAGAACATGTGTTCAGAACACGTATTGATTACTGTGAGGTGAAAATATAAAATGAGACAAACATCCATTTCGAAGTGAACACGAATTGATTTAGTGGAAATAATCAACCACATGATTATATAATCGATCCAGTCAACAGTTCATAGTTTAAAGTCAGTCAATCAATCAGTCGGTCAACCAGTGATTTAGTTAGTCAGTCTATTCACACCGCAATAGAGGAGACGTTTCATGAACACGATACTTGTTCTTAGATTCAATGAATCAGACAGATCACTGATGATCATTGGTTGACATTAATTATTATTGTCAGTCATAACGGTAAATCTTTATATTAACAGTTTATGGCATGAAATGTGAAATAATGTGCAACGTGTTGTGCATAGTTTCTCAAGATGTTGCACTGATATCTTAGTCAATGAGAAATAACTCAGAAATGGAACATCATTCCATTTCATTGACTGGTTGAACATTCATTCCAGTTGATCACAACCGAATCTAATAATGATGTGTTGTCTTGGAATACTGTAGTGATATGATGGGATTGAATGGGACAATGGCATTTCGACTGCATAGTACTTCCGTTTTCAATTTAATGTGGTGATTACTCAGTGTAATATTTGTTTTATTCTTCTATGTGATAATATTCTATTCGATGTGACCATTTCTGTGAGGGTGATAGTTGTCCATGATAAGATATTGTTGGATTGAATGAACATGAACTATGCTCGACATGACACACAGTATGTGATTTCTGATAATTCTGTGTATTTTACATATTTGTGTCTACAGGGTCGAATTGCAAGTTTCCATTTTCCAATATGTGACAGTCTGGTCCCAGTTAGAAATCAGTTGTCAGTTCAACCTACACACCAAATCCTGTTTTTCCATTGAATTATGAATAAATGTTTCAAATGATCAAATGTCTGATAATTATGATACTGATATTTGAGATTCATTAGTTGCTAATGAAGTCGTTAGTGAATTTGAGAAAAATATTTCATGTGAATAAAATTGTGGTTCCAAACGTGATGTTGCTCGTTTTCACAATGCTTATGTTTGCAGAACAAACATTGGTCAATATGAAGCACATGTTCTCAATCTGTTTAAATCTATCGATACTTCTGATGGTTCAAATCCAAACGTCATTTATACTCACAATCCATCCACTGGTAATCAATGTGAGAAATATGTTCCAAACGAGTCGCATCCTGATCACATTTCACATGTTATTGCAGCAGATGTTTGGTGCTGTCATGCATTATATATGCCACATAGATACTTCTCTGAATGCTCTAATGAATGAACTGATGTAACAAGTATGGAATGCAGTCTGGAATCTGGAATGTTCAGTATTTACAACTTTCACACAGTGGGAAAATTCAAAATTAGTCACCAATTAGAATAGATCGAAATTTGATTTGAGGCTCGATGTCTGACATGATAGAAATGACGATATATTTTACATGAAGGCTACTGAATGAGACAGCGTCTGACACCGTCACCACGAATCTCGAATGTTGTGACATCAACATCATAATATTTCAACTGGATTGTTGCAGGAATAACCTAAAATGATGCACACATTTGCATGACTGACTCTGTCGGAACGTGTATCCAAGTCACATGAGACGAACCAGTTCCGTTCTAACTCCCATTACAAACTGGGTTTGGCTGATTGACGCGAGCGATCTGTGAGTAGTGATAATAATTTGATAGATACTCACCTGTTTAGGAAAGAGGTGACACACTGTCAGAGGAGTGTAATT